ATTAGGGAGCCGAGCAAACGCCGCAAGCAGGAGCAGCGGGAGGAGAAGTGATATGGGAGAGCTTCGTGTCTGCTCTGTTCTGGTCACTGGGGCCAACCGGGGGATTGGCCTGGGGCTTGTCCGACATTTCCTGGCCATGACAAACCCACCCAAGTGGGTCTTTGCAGGTTGTCGGGACCCGAAGGGAGAGCGGGCGCAGGTGAGGCTGGGCTGGGACGCAGTGGGTTGTGCTGGGGACGGGAGCGCTCGGTGCCGGGGCGGCAGGTTGGAGCAGGGAGGGGGTTGCAAAGGACTCGAGCTGCAGCCGGGCTGGGATGGCTGTGGGACCCGCTGTGCCTGGCGGGTGCGGAGGGGACAGTGGCACGTGGCTCATGCTGGCAGCGCGCAGCCCCGTCCGAGGGGAGCGGGGCGGCCGGAGCAGGGTGCTGGGCACACGGCCGTGCAGGGACGGAGCCGCAGCCACACGGGCTTTGTCTCTGGGCTGCTCTCCTGCCTCTCCATGTCCACGCGGTCCCTCTCTTGCAGAAGTTACAGAATTTGGCCTCCAAGCACCCCAACCTGGTCATCATCACGCTCGGTAGGTGACCCGAGGTGGGGGTCCCTCACCCCAATTCCCCTGGCGTGTGCCCGGGCGCTGCGCACACCCGGGGAGCCCCATGCCGGGAGGGAGCTGTGCCGACGGGCTGGTGCCTGTGGGGACACCGGGTGCTGCCGTCCCTCCTGCTCATGGCCAGCCCTGAGGGCACATCCCTGGGGGGACACAGGGGACCCCAAGCCACTGCTGGGACGCTGACCTCCACTGTGTCGGCTCTGCAGAAGTCTCCGACCCCGCCAGCATCAAGGCGGCCGCAGCCAGAGTCGGGGAGCAGCTGGGGGGCTCGGGGCTGAACCTCCTCATCAACAACGCTGGAGTAGTCAATTTGAACACTCTGGATAACGAGACGCTGGAGGACATGACCCAGGTTTACACCACCAACACGGTTGGGCCTCTGCTGATGGGCCAGGTGAGACCCTCACCTGAGCTGGGCTGTCCCGGGGGACATGAAGGGACGGTGGCAGAGGGTCCTGCCTCCGCTCCGGTGCCGATGGGCTCTCACTCAGTGAGAAGCTCATGGAGATGCGGGCTGGAGCTCCGGAGCTGGAGCCCAGTGGGCTGCAGCAATGGGAAGAGGAGGGAGGATGCTCCAGTGCTGGTGCCAACGTCACCTGCTGTGGAATGAGCTGCTCCTCTCCACTGCACTACCTCTGTGCACACCCCTATTTACTCCCCTCTCCCTCTCCCTCTCCCTCTCCCTCTCCCTCTCCTTGCAGGCGTTCCTGCCCTTGCTGAAGAAGGCTGCCCAGGGGAGCCCAGGCTCAGTGCTGAGCTGCAGCAAGGCAGCCATCGTCAACATGTCCAGCATTGGGGGCTCCATTCAGGAACTCTATTTATGGGATCAGGCAAACGTTGTCTCCTATCGCTGCAGCAAGGTATGTGCTGGACTGAATATGGGTCCAACCTTCTTTGCTCAGCAAACAACTGCCCGACCCCTCCAGTGTCTCCCCCCTCACTCCCTGCACCTCTCTGTGCTGTGACTGTGCTCCCATCAGTCACTGAGTCCCTCTCACGACACAGTCCCATGCCCGGCCCCAGGTGGGGTCTGGACGTGTCCCCTTGCAGCCACCCTTCCCCTCCCACCGCCGTCCCTGCCCTGTCTCCCAACAGGTTGCTCTGAACATGCTGACCAAGTGCCAGTCCCAGGGGTACCGGGAACACGGCATCCTCTGTGTTGCTCTCCACCCCGGCTGGGTGCAAACCGACATGGGGAGCGCAGCCGGACACACGGTAGGAGTTTCCCCATGGCGGGTCCATCCTGGGCTCATTTCCCAGGGCAGGCAGTCGCTGCCCTCCGCCCCCAACCACCACCTCCCTGCCTGCCCCATCACTGCCCGGCTCTCCCAAGCCCTCCAGCGGCTCCCCGCCCCGGC